TGCGGTCGGGGGTGGCCGTGGGGGGGGGGGGGGGAGTAGAGGGACCTACTACCTTGATTGCTGTATAGATTTCCATGTCCCATTCGGATGTCTTGTCCCCATTCTTCCCTGTAACGGTTGAAAGACTACTGTGTTTATGCCTGCTGGTTCAAGCCCCTTTCCTCATCTCTTCAACAAAAAAGAATAAACAAATCAATTTGAATTTAAAAGACACAAACAAAATATATACAAAAGAGATTTGTTTGTCACTCTAGTTGGCACTTGTCCCAATCTTATATCTCAATTTAGTGCACTAACTGCCCTTTTTCCAAGCAAGAACCTTTTGGGCCCTCCAATTCTTAGGATACCATACAAAGCTCATGTACAACTTAAACAAACACTTGAATGCATTTTTTCTTGTCTTTGGTTTGTCCTCTAACCTCTTATAATGCACGGATGTCAGTTTACAACAACAACAACATACGCACTGAAATCTCCATGGAATCTGGGGAGGGTGATGTGTATGCAGCCTTACCCTTACCTTGTGAAGGTAGAGAGGTAATTTTTGATAGACCATCGGCTCAAGTAAAGAAAATATAGTAGTTAACAAACTATATAAAAAATAATGGAGAAAAGTAGCATCAACAACAAATAGTACGATAAACGAAGTAGAAGAAACAATAGGTAAAAATTAAAATCGAAGAAAAAGGTAATAGGAGAGTACTAATAAAGAAAACTCGACAATGCTTGACTACCTATTAACCTTTCACCCAAATTCTTGACCTCCACATCCTCCTATCTTGGGTCATGTCCCCAGTAAACTACATGTGTGTCATGTCTTTGTCTAATCACCTCTCTCAAATACTTATTCGGCCTACCTATACCTCTCCTAAGACCCACCATAGCCAACATCTCACCTTCTCACTGGGACATCTCCTTCACATGCCCAAACTATCTCAATCTAGCCTCCCTCATCTTGTCCACCACAGAAGTGACTTTCACCTTGTCCCAAATATCTTCGTTCCTAATCCTATCTCTCCTAGTATGTCCACTAATCCATCTCAACGTCCTCATTTCCGCTACTTTCATCTTCTGGACGTGCGAGTTCTTGACCAACCAACACTCTGTCCCATACAACATAATTGGTCTAGAATCAACTTTATGTTGACAAATATAATTCCAATTTTAAGCATTAGAAAACAATTTATACATCTCTCTATTCAGTTGCTACGTCTAACTCAAATCATACTCATTTTCTATTTAATGTATCTTTAACCATTGATGTTCATCAGGGCCAAGTCACGCGCAAAAAGAAAATAATGCAAATGTGAAAGAAAGATGCCCCTACTTGGGCTAAAGTTGTACTCTCAAGAATATGATTAATTTCTTTTCTAGAAGCTGCTCTTTTAGTTACCTAGAGAGGTAATCCCAATGAGGGGCCTTTAGGTGATGGTGACTAGTGAGTAACTGAGGTGGTTGGCATCATGTAATTCCAAGCTCCCATTTCTAACCCCACACCATATAGCAGGAATGTCTTGAATTTCAGGTCCCTAAAGCAAAGATAGTGAAACCTCAATAAACTTACCCTACTAAACAGAGGGACAATTTTTTTTTTCATATTTCTCCATCTAAACCACATATTATAAAAGACTCTAATTCTCATAAAACTAGATTATTGAACAACTATTAAGCACTCTAACATCGACAGCTGTTGTAGTACTAACTACTAACTCCTATGCGCATTCAGAAGAAACACAAGCGAGATACCTGTCTTGAAAACCCAAAAATGAACAGCTAAATACTACTTCTGAATAACAACTTCATAGAAATGTGACAAGCAGAGGTAATTTCATAGAAATGCAACTATTTAAACTGATTCCGTCAACACTCATTTTCTGTTCAATTCTAACTTCTGTCTGTTGGAATGGATAAACCCAATGACATATCAAGTATATATCCTCAAACTTTTACTGCCTAACTTCTCAGCTGCTGTCAGACCAAAAACTTATCAAAGGCAATAGACCTGTATGATTTGATTGAAAATTGAGACACTTTTAGATTCTCAACTTTAAGAATAGTCTGCCAAAAACCACAATCATGTTCAGGAAGTCAATTGTTTGAATATTATAAATTTCAACTCAAGTGTTATAACATAAGGAGATCTAGCTTGATCTGATGAACGAGTCTCGGACTTAACCATGTCCCAAGGATGCAGCTACTATTATCACTCCCATAAATGAGTGTTAACAGAAGGTTAGACCCCATAATGATGAATATCAAAGTCTGTTACAAATGTTTTCGTGAAGTTATTACTTAATTATCACCTTTTTTTCTAAAAATTTGCAATTAATATTTCTTGTGCTAAAAAAAAAATTGTCACTATGCTTGTAAGTTGTAAGAGACTACCTTTTAGGGGTCGTTTGGTACAAAGATCAATAATACAAGGATTAGTAATGCAGGAATTGGTAATGCATGGATTATTTTTATCAAGTGTTTGGTTCATTGTTTCTTACCTAGTTTTGTGTGTGGTTTAAAACTCTACAAAAAAAACTCTTTCCAATTATACCCTTGAGTTATTCTGAGATTTTCTATTTCATGTAATTGGGTCAAGGTAGATAATTGACGGACAATATTATTTTTTTATTAGCATTTTAACTAGCTAGGAGAATAAAAATTTTATTGTCATGTTCACTATTTTCTCACTTAAATTATTTGAGAGTAAATAATTGTCATCTTAATAAATTGGAGTTAATATCTCAAAAGGTCACACAACTATAATAATTTATAGAGAAAATTTATTGAACTTTGTTTTGTATCAATAAATTAAAAAAACTCTTTATCATAAAAAAAAATTAAAAAAAATATATAGCAAAATAAATTAAACTATTTTTATACTCAAGATGTTTATATATATATATTTATGCTCTTGTTTTAGACTACTTGTGTAATGTTTAATGGACTTCCGTTAAGAGATAATATTTGACTTATGAATTGTTCTTAAATTCATACATCAACATTAGCATATTAGTCGGATTATAATATTTTATATTAATAATAAATAGATTAAATAACTCATATTTTAGGCTAATTTATTTAAATAAATTTATTAGTATAAATATAAAACATAAAATCAAGAAAATAAACAAAATGATTAAAAGAATTTGAGGGGGTATTTTTGTCCTTACCTAGATTAGTCCCATGGTATTAGAACTAATACCACCAAATGGAGGGTATTAGTTATACACCCTATAATACCATAACTAATCCATGGATTGATTATACATAGACCCAAAATTCCTACCAAACATAGTACTAAATAATACCACACATAATATATACTTGGACTATTTCTCCTAATACTCCCTACCAAACGACCCCTATAAGGTTTGTTATACTGCTTGATACAGAAGTCCACAACTTAGGAGATACATTTTGTGAAGAGCATTTGTTGTTGTCCCTGTTCCACAAACTAGAGAACTAAACATTAAAAAACTTAGGCTTCAACCTATGTTGCTGTGAACTTGCATACAAGTATGTACCAGGTAAGTATTTGGGTGCATAAGTTCAACTTTTAGTATATTTTGAAGGATCTTTATGAAGTACCAATACACACGTTACACCTGTTTGACACATAATATATCAAGGCAAATGAAAAGTTTATGTAAGATGGATCCTGTTACCAGTTTCAAAAAAAAGTGGGCTTTGACAACTGGTAACTAATAGAACTTACTACTTAAGTATCTTGAGAATATCACTTGTGTCATTAAAGTAAACGATTGCATTCACCCAAGTGAGAGCTAAGGGGTCATCCGCTTATTCCACTTGTACCGGAAATTTCATAGTACTGAACCTCCTAGCCCAATTTAAGAACTCAGTTGACCAAGGGCTTTGGCAGATTTTCCATCAACAGGTAAGACTATCAGCATGAATAGCTGACAAAAACAGATGACACACCCCTAATGTGGTTTGTAGAGCACGGATGCAGCTGTATGGAATCCTATAGAAATAGAATATTGCCTTTAATATCATTTATGGGTCAGTATATAAAGTATCAACCTTAAACAAGAAGTGCAATAGCAGTGATAAGGCCCAAATCTCAAATATCCTGCAGTTAGTCATAATTGGAGTAAATTCTTGAGGTACAGGAGTTTCTGAAAATGAGGAAGACCAGGTAAAAGGATGAGGAAAATAGACCGATCAAATTGTATCTTGGATTGAAAAGAGAAAGAAGACAAATTCTCTATATACCTTTATCAGGAACCAGTATCAACCTTATATCAGTTAGTAACAAGAGTTACAAGACTCTAATGTTTTTGTCTTTTAACACAAATTTGGGGTTTCATAAAGCTTGTGGATCTCTAAGTCTTACAATTATCCATGTCCAGGCCTAATCTAAGTTTAACAAAGACAACTAGGCCAGGTCCCAACTAATTAGTATTGCATTCATAGATTTTTTTTGATAAAGGTAAAGTTCAGCATTAGGCTACCTCCAAAAAGTTACAAGCTATTTCCATAATTACATAGATCCTAGGAAATCTATCTACTTCCTCTATACCATCTTCTTTACACCAAAAATACAACATGTTAATGCAATTTTCTTTAACCTTCTGAATAGTGTTAGTAATATTCTCACGACACCTGAGGTTTCTTTGCTTCCATAGTATTCTATAAAAGAATGTAATGACAAAGAGAAAGCAAATTTGTGTTAGGTTAAAAGAAGAGATATGAAAGGATAACAGAAGCATTGTATATAAGCAGACAGATACATTAGCTTCAACAATGTATAAACTCTTGAACAGCAGGGTACAGGGTCTTGTTATGAGATGAGATCCCTACAACAACATATCCGGTGTAATCCCACAGGTAGGGTCTATGCAGCCTTATCCTACCTTGTGAAGATAGAGAGGCTGAATGAGATCCCTGACAAAGGAAAATCCTAAAGGAAGTTCTACCACCCCATATGTGCATCTGCATGTCAAAAACCAACTTTAAATCTGAAGAAGCTTTTCATTGTTTCCTCCCTTGTATTAGAACCAATTCATAGCAGCAAAGGTCGGTGCTTTTGATATTAACAGAAATCTTCACAATTAACTGGAAAATACAGGTGACCTCCAATACTATGGAAGCAGGATCTGACCTTTGAGAATTGACACCTTCTTTAGCCATCCACTTATAATTCCTGAAATTTGAGCATATGCTGACAACATGTCAGAAATACTACTTATCACAATAAACTTTGTACATTATTTGTTCCAAACAACACTAGCTAATAAAGACAATTTAGATTATTCTGTCTTATTGAATTCACAAGTGTGGACCAGATACTCAGGCACTAAGAGTGCTTTTAGCTAGTTAAATTGAAATTACATTAGAGGACTTCTATGAAATAATTCCCTTGTCTATATGAACCATATTGACATAGATGTTAGGCTTCTTGTATAAACTAGCTTAAACATAATACAGCAATAACACAGAGTCTGATGATTCAACCTTCATTTGTTTATCAAAAATTTTGTTCAAATTCAGAAAAGATGAAGGTAAGAAGGCAGTGAGGCAAATTAGGTAGAGATGAACTTAGAACGGAACTTTTCTTACCAAATTTAGGTCAGCCATGAAGGAACCATAATACAGCTGAAAACAAAACACAAAGAACCAGTGAGCATATAATTCAAACTTGATCTGTGGTTCTAGTACTGAGGATCTTAAGTTCAACTCTAACAGAAACCAATGTCAATCCTTCTGCAAGTAATATAGCTTCATATTTCATAACCCTGCACCCTGAAGTGATTGATCCTCTATTTCTGAACGTCAAGATCAAGAAGCTCCGTGTCCAATCTCAAGATGTGTGAATCCAAGCACCTTTCAGTAAAGAAGCTAAAGTCATTTGAGATCCACTGCAGCAATGTCATCTTAACGGAGAAAATCATTGCCACCAAAGACTGAACTGCCCAAAGAAAAAGATATTACATTCGGAGAGTTCTCTGAATGACCATCTGGACCGACACTACAAAATATGTAATGCTGTCATGATGCAGACTTTGAAATAGAAACTGCGATATAAAGGCCTACTTATACATTTCATTTGGAATGCAGAAATTTTGTTTATATGGTAGTTCGTTCTTTTAGTAACTATTGTTTGTATGAGTTGTCCTCATCCTTTGATGCAACTCATGTTGTCTCCGAAATTAGCAGGATCACAGGAACAAACACTACATGAGCAGCTAACTTGGCTTCTCACTTTGGAAAGTAATCGTTATTGTAGAGCACTTTGCAATTCATAATGAAATGGTTTGTAAAGGTGAGAGATTTGGGCAAATTGATGTGGTGGCAAGAGGAATGCCTTTGAGGCAACTTTTTGGCTTAGGTAAATGCAATACATAGATTTAGGAAGTCGAAGATCGTGGAGATCTATTTTGTGAAATCAAATTCAGTGATTTTAGAATAGCACTTTGATATTTTTTCGAAGTAACAGATATGAAGAGGGCAAATGAATTCTTAGGAAAAAAATTAACTAAACAAAAGAGTATATTAGAAGGGAAAATTAATTCAGACCACCATATCTTTGCATTAATAATAAAATATACTAAAAGAATTATTGCAAAAAAGATCAAAACAGGAGAGGTAAGCTTAATATCATAAACAACAAGGGAGGTTATCGTGAAGAAGCCAAACGTGGGGAGAGGTCTCCGAATTTATCCCTAATATAGAAGTAATTAAGTAGGGGTAATTTCTTGAGTTGGTCCTTTTTGGGTCACTGATGTAAATCTTTTTGATGGTTGCCAGCATACCCTCATTGCTGAAGAATACAACTTTACTTTATCAAAAAAAAATTAAGTAGGGGTAATTGCTTCAGAAAATGAAGGTAGTTTTTGTACATTGGAGTTCTTGTACAATCTTGAAACAAAAGTAAAGGTAAAGGAACCATAGGCAACTAGAACATAATTATTTTTCACAAGATTTCTCCAAATAAATGCATCTAATGTGAAGCAGTATTTTTCAAAGGAAAGGGGAATTATTTCTTTAACAAAATGCTTCCTAGACACTACTGCAATCAGTTATCACCCAGCAGGATTCCAATTTTTTTAAAACCGGAGTTTGGCTCATAACAAGATAAGATTTCATGCATTAGTATTTTTTTTAATTGGTTTCATGCATTAGTATCAATGTCAAGTCTTTTCCTCATAATTGATTTAAGAATGATTCACCAGATGAGAAGCCCAATGTAAAATGTATACCTCATTACTGCACTCAGCTGTTGATTTTGTGGACTCCCACAGCTTTCTGTAATCCATCAATAACGTACTTGCATGTCAGCTGATTTGGCGCAAAACCCACTTTCCTCATTTTATCTTGAAATTTCATCAATTTTGCAATATCACCTTCACCACTTAGAAGCCTGACAATTGTGTTGTAACAAACTGTGTCAAATATTTTAAATTCTTGAGCAAAGAAGCTTAACAGCGATTGAGCCTCACAGAAATTGTTCTCCCCACAATGACCATTTATTAAAGCTCTACAGACTTCAATATCAGGTGGCACATCACAATCAGTCATTTCTCTCATCAAGGAGTTGGCATCCATGCTTCGGCCTAATTTACACAAACATTTAATTATAGCTCTATATGTACCAATATCAGGCTTCAAATCTTTTGATACCATCTCTGCTTTCAAGCATGAAGCCTCATCGGGGAAATTGCATCTGCAGAAAGATTCAATCAACTCCCCGTAGACCATATTGCTAGGCTCATATCTGTCGCCAGATACTCGATCAATTAGAGCTTTGGCTGCAAATGGTCGATTCTCAATACAAAGTGCAGCAATAAGATAATTGTATATATCATGAGATACTACAAATCTAAATCTTTGAAGCTCGGTGACTAAATTCACAGCTGAAACCAAATTATCCTGTTTTTGATATCCTTGTACAAGAACTGAACAAGTGAACTTATCAGGATGCATCCCTTCTCCAATCATGTCATGCAAAAGAAAACGTGCCTCTTGCATCATCCCCTCTTTGCAATAACCAGAAATAAGAGTGTTATACAAAATAACATCTGGTTTTAACCCTCTGTCAGCCATCCTTATAAACAACTGATGAGCATCTTTCACATTTCCCTTTTTACAAAAGCCATTTATCAAAGAAGTATATGTGAACAAATCTGGTGATACATCTCTAATGTACATAATTTGATACAAGTGAACTGCATCTTTCATTCTTCCTTTCCTACAATAGCTACTAACTAAAGTATTATATGTAACTATATCAGGTTGAAACCCTTCTTCTTCCATTTTCTCCAAGAATTCATTAACCTTGTTCACATCTTCATCCTTGCACAAGACATGGGTTAATATATTAAAGGTACACGAATTCGGGTGCACTCCAATTCTTTCCATTTCAGCATAAACTTCCCAACATTTTTTGCTATAATTCAACTTTGAAAGACCAGTTAAAAGGCAGTTCACAGTAATAACACTCGGGTACATTCCATGCTTCACCGTCTTTCTAAACGCTCTAAATCCATCTTTCACCATGTTCACCTTGAGAAAAGCCTTAATTAGCATATCAAACACAACAGGGTCCCAATTACACAAACCACTAGATGAAAGCAAACTTTCAAACACATCCACACTCTCCATTCCATCTCTCTTCAAATTAACCAATTCAGACAAAAATTTCATTGCTTGTGAAAAGTTCCTTGTCCAAGTCAGTATATGAATTACAAGACAGCAGTTTCGAGTGTTAGGCTCCACACCCAAATCATTCTTGACCCAGTTAAAGAAACTAAGAGCACTGCATGAATCAGACTGGCATCTCAACAGGACCCTTGAGATTTCACTGTCACTGAAATAACTAATAAGCCCATTATCTTGGATGGTTTTCTGAAGGAGGGACAAATGGTCATTGTTTCTGTTCTTTAGAGCTGAACATATCAGACTCACTGTGTTTTGGGGGTTTTGGGTTTTAGGTAGAAAATTATGCAGAGGGTTTGAAAAGGGTCTGGCAGACCCACTATAATCTGTTAGAATTTGGACACAATTTGATGATGAAAAATTCAGTCTTGAATGAAGATTCTTGAAACTAATAAGTAATTCTCCATTTGAACAAGTAGATTTAATTGATTTTTGCGTTAGATTCATGGGAAAATTCAAGAAAAATGGAGCTAATTTCTTCAACGAGTAAAGTAAATTTGAATATAGATAGAGAGAGGATTACCGAAGGAGACTGAAATTTGAAGAATCTGGTTCTACCATGTCCACAAAATTAAATTTGGCAGAGCAGAGGAGTGAAAAGCTCTGCTGCGCTGCGTTTGTTTGCGGGAACAAATTTTCGCCCTTGGCATTCGTTGCCAACAGACGTTATGTTATTCGGGTTTATTCATTGTGGTTCAATTTATTTATTAAAAAAATTACTGAAATACACGATTTATGTTTCTCTTATTTTTAATATTTTCTTTTATTTCTAAAATTGCTTATTTCTTTAATGTATCCGAGCTACATATTAATGTATTCGAGTCAGTATTTAATATCCGAGCTACATATGATGTATCCGGTTTATTTTATAATGTATCCGAGTTACATATTATGTATCCGGTTTATTTTATAATGTATCCGAGCTACATATTATGTATCTCATTTGTGTTTTAATGTATCCGAGCTACTCTTTAATGTATCCAGTTTGTGTTGCTTTTTAAGAAATTAATGTAATTACAAACTAATGAGGGATAGATTGTAATTTCATATTAAAACTATGGAATTTATGTAAGTTATACTTATTTGTTTTTAATAGAAAACGGTTCCGATTTATACGGGGCCATATTGATTTCTGCACGTATATTCCCAATTAGCTTAGACCCAAGCCCAAGTAGATCCAGATAACAGGCCCAATTATGTTTTCCTCTTAAGATTCTTCATAGACTTGGCCTGTTTGGCACTTCTGCTGGATTTCATTGGATACAAGCAATTCCCAAAATAAAGAAATTTCACAAGTTTAGGAGCGAATTACTTATTTTAGTTTGCAATATTATGAATCTTATTAGATTTTGATGTGTCTGGATACGTCTAGATACATGTATTTTGAGATATATGTGGTCAAAATTAGCTGTGATTTATTCTGGATACATTGTACCAAAGTGAATTCGCATGTAACTGAGATATATATATAGACAAATCTCCCTCGCCTCCCTCCCATCTCGCTCGCTACTCTCCTATGTAGATGATATCCTAAATACATGTGAATCACACCAGATACATACAAATATATGTATCTAGTGTGACTCACATGTATCTGGGACACATGACTATCTTCCTTCCCATCTCCCTCGCTTCTCTCCCTATTTTAGTGTATCTGGTAGCAAAACTACATATATCTAGATGTATTTTCCTCAATATATGATAGAAAACTCTTAATTAATGGTAAAATACGTAATTATTTGAAAGTATATATAAATAGAGTTAATATATATGGTATATATAAATGTATGTCTAATAAGACCCTTTTTCCTCTTTTTTTTTAAAAAAAAAACTACGTAATCAAACAAACATTTTCATCTAATCTATTAAATTTCAAATTCCATTTATTTTGATAGAGTTAATATATATATATGATATTTATTTTGAATTTTGTGAATTTGTTACAGATTGTAATGGATTGATATCAACCAGTTTTGCGTGAATTGGGGGAATTAAAATCAATTTTACTTTAATATTCCATATTAAGTGCAATAGACACATATATAATGTATCACAATTAATGTATTCGGACAACCAGTTATGTATTCGAATGGCTGATATTTTAAGGGATTTTTTGTAAAATAGTAAATAGTAGGAATATAATGTAATTTAGATCTTACACTATGGGATTTATGTAAGTTATACAAAAAAATTACTCCATCCCAATTTATATGACCTACCTTCCTTTTAGTCAATCTTAAAAGAAATGATATATTTCTATGTTTAGTAAAGTTTAACTTAAAAATTTCTATTCTACCCCTAATGAACTGATTTATAGCTACACAATTATTTATGAATTAATTTAGAACACATCTTTCTTAAATATAAGTAGGAATAGAGATTAAATGTTTACTAAATATAGAAATGTGTTATTCCTTTTGAAATTGACTAAAAAAAAAGTGAGTTATATAAAATCGACGGAGTAATATTTTTGTGCCATGTGGCACATTAGAGGGTAAATAGTTTCAAAAATAAATTTTGAGGGGATAATTAAGACTTCTTATAGTTAAAGAGAGGTAAATACTTTCGAAAATCCATATTTGAGGAACAATTAAAACTTCTCATAATCTAGGTGTGCATTTAATGGAAGTCAAACAAATCCGACCCTAAAATATAAGGATTGATTGAAAAAAAGTGTTTTTTGTTAGTTTTGGTAGGCAAATTTGAGGAAGTTCTTCAACTACAAGGGCATATTTGAGACCTAATCCAAATGCAGGGCAAATTTGTTATATTTATAAAGTTGAAGGACAAATATGAGTCATTCCAATAACGACAAAGACATATTTAAGATCAAATTATTCTATTTTCATTAGTTGAAGGGCATTTTTTGGCCCTTTGCAAATGATGAAAAGATGTTACAAAACTTGAAAGCTTGTGATACATATTAATTCCGAGACTACAACAATTAAAGATGACCACATGAAAACAAAATAGATATTACCATCATTATTAGCAGATGGTTAAGCTAAAACATCTAATTAAGTGCTAATGCCTTGCTTCCTAGTAACAAATTGGTTGCAAAATTGTCCTTGATTCATCATGATCTTGAGTTAATTAAGTTACTTTCTTAGAAGATTAATTAGGAATTAAGAGAATCTCTGATAATCATATGGGAAGTTTGATTCAAATCCCATTGAGTTAAATTGGTAATCTGCCTCATTTTGCTGAGAAGTTCCTGCAGACATGTTATTAAAGGAAGGGGGGAAATTCTCCACAAAGTTGTTGTTTGGAATTGTGGATGAATTAGTCAAAAAGTTGTAATCTTGATGATCGTGGGAGGACGATGAAGGGTAATTATTAAACGAGGGTATATATGGCACATTGTTAGGATGATCATGGTGAGTACTATTGAAGTTAAAGTCGTCTTTGGAGATACTAAGGTTTTTTTGAAAATTCAGGAGAATTTCATTCGAGTTTTGATGTGGGGTAGGGATTAGTTGTTGATATTGTTCGTGATTTCCTATGTTTGGTTCTTGAATTTGATGTATTGCTACGGGCAAAGGTGGTGGTGCTGGATTCACATTACTGACACTAGCACCACCACCTTGATTACAAGTGTGCCTTCCTCTATACGTGACTTCGAAAATGGTGGGATCTTCATCGGATTTTTGAACTTGTTTCGTAGCCAAACAACCTTGGACATGTCGAAGTGTGCATCTGTAATAACCTCTGCATTTAACAAACAAAAAATATAATTACATAAATGTTTTAAGTATATATAGATTCAAACATTTTAATCTTAATATGTACGTTACCTTGGATGTTTAGCACCAAGGATATCTTTCTGTCCATATTTTCTCCAACTATAACCATCATCAAGAGTCCCTTCAATTGGCGCCCCTGGATGAATTTGAACTTGCTTTGTCCAACGCGGTGTACTGCTCTTTCTGTAACATTATAAGTTTAGTGATCATACGTGAAAAATTTAATTATAAGAAGAAAAAAAAAAATTATAAACCTCTTGCGTGTAGCATGATGATCTTTAGGCTCAAGATCACGATCAGAATCTTCACTTGATCGCGGAGAATCAGACATTCCAATAATCGGAATAGCAGGGGAAGTAGAATGTGCTAGTAATGAATTAGAATTATCTCCAGTAGTATTATATTGTAGCAAGGACAGAGCCCTATCAAATTTGGACTGGATATTCTGAATCAAGAATTCCCTAGTGTTTTCGGACGAATTAGACGATGAATTATAATTAGGAGCATTAAGATGAAGTTGGAGCTGTTGAACAAGATCCCTTCCTTGAGTTAATTCACTTACAAGTCTATTAAACTCGTGACTATTATTGTCAGCTGCGTAATTGTCCATTTGAGAAATTAACTCGAACGTGAAATAATACAAGACAGGGGAGAGACAGAGTATAATAGGAGTTGTTGGTTAACCATACAAGAATTTGTGATTTTGAATGTAAAGAAGAGATTATATATAAAGGGGATGAAGTAACAAAAGGAATGGAGAAAGTTTGACTGAAGAATAGTTTGGTTAGACCAGTCCTTGGTCAAGGGAATTGTAGTATAAGTAAGCAAGTCTAATTGCTGACTATTTCAAATTAATAACTTATAATATGTCTATTTAACTGTTATTTTAAGATTTTGAACTCAAAAATCCACCTCCATGGGGAGTTGGGGGGGTGGGGTAGGGGAAAAAAAGTCGGTCTTTGATAATATAATGTTGGAGCAATAAACATTAGAGTTGGGAATGGATCGAAGTCAAAAATATTGAGAAAATGGAATGATCAACCGAAAATGAAGACCAAAAGAACCTTCTTGCCGCGTTTACTGTTCCTCTTAAATCTAAATCCTTCGGTCTGTTTTACTTGTCATCCAAAATAGTTGTCAACTATTTCCTTCGTTACGTTTTAATTTTTTTGGTCTTATGTTTAACTTGATATATAGTTTAAGAAAGTAAAAAAAACTTTGAATTTTGTGGTCTTAGGTTAAAAATATGTCAAATGTATTAAATATTCTTTATTCTTGTGATCTTAAATATGTCATGCGGAAAGATAAGTTGTTAAAAGGGAAAAGAGAAATAGATTAAAACGAAAAATAGTCGAATAAATTGAAATGAATGGAATGTTAGCTTCCACTTTTATTTTAACTCAATAAAATATAAAGATAAATTAATATGGTGAAAAGAAAAAAATAAAAAAAATAAGAATAAATTGAACAAATGACCTTTTTAATAAATATATTTTAAAAGGACATGAAGAAAAAAAAAAGGACCAGTTGTAGTAATTCGGTGCATGTTTGATCCCCAACTTCTTAATGGCCAAAAACTACTTCAAAGGTGTGATTGTGAAAGTTATAGTTTAGAAATCATTTACTAAATCATTTTTCATAGTTGATTGGATATAAAAGATTAGTTGCATGACTCTCCTTTCAATTTGATCAACAGCATAAATTAATTCAAATAAATAAAAATTACATAAAAAGTATTTGAAAGAAACCATGATTAAGGGTCTGAAAAATATCCCAATTTTGGTCGGATTTGTTGTTGCGATACTAAACTTTCATGAGGACCTATTACCTCCCTAGACTATTTAATACCGTATTTTTTACCCCCTGAACTATTTAATAGTGTATTTTAAAGGTATATATGTGCCCACGTGGACACA